GATGCTTCTCAGTTCTCTCAATGAAGACTGAGGCAAACCTGGATCAGTCAGGTTCTCTGCTGTTACAGATGTGCCAGGGGCTGATCAGGCAGCTGTTTCTTTTGACTAGTTACTGAGCAGATGTTGAGAGAAGGCTAAAGCAAATCCTGAAGAACTTGCAGAAAAGCACAAGTCACTTACACTTACAGTGTGACTTGCCATGTGAACTGAACAATCAACTAGACTGTGTTTCAGGTCTTTGCCAATCTGTGGTCAGTGGCAGAAGCCTGAGATTCTTCTCCAAGGGCTGGTAGTGTCCCTACCTCCTTACTCCTGCCACTTTCCTCATCCTGGCACCAATGTCTTTGTATCTGTGGGGTGAGCTGGCTTCAGTCAATGGATCTGGCTAACAACTGGCCCAACAAAAGAGAGTCGTTTTGAGTTAGTTCAAGTGACTATTCCAGGTTACTGCATCAAGGAGGAGAGCTCTTCCTTGCACAGTGCAGCCAGCCTGGCTGAGCTTGCTCTGGGCAAGCACACATTGATGTTGGATCAAAGCAACTGTGCTACCAGGGTGCATGCAAAGACCTTTCCACAACTGCTATATGTTTATCAGAGCTCTGTACTAAGCCTAACAGGCTAACTAAATGAGTATATTGGTGTTTGTTTTAACATTGCTGCCACCTTCCACACCTGAGGCTGCTGCTACGTGGGAACTTGTATTCCAGGACTGCACACAACTAGTTTCAGCACCTGGCTTTAGAGAACTCAGCAGGGCAACAAAACGGGCTTAAATATATTAATTCATGGCTCACGGGGCTGTGCTGTGAGGCTTCTGGTGATCCACTGCAACAAGGTAAATGTCTCACCTGGAGTTTTAATGGAGTATATCCAGTATATGCAGGAGTAGTGTTCCACCATGGGCAGGGACACCTCCCACTAGATCAGGTTGCTCCAAGCCCCATCCAACCTGCCTTTGAACACTTCTAGGGATGGGGCATCCACAGCTTCCTTGGGCAACCTGAGCCGATGTCTCACCACTCTCACAGGAGATAACTTATTTCTAATGTCTAATCTAAATCTCTCTTCTTACAGTTTGAAACCACTCCCCCATGTCATGTCACTTTTACACCCTTGCAAAAAGCCCCTCCCCAGCTTTCCTGTAGCCCCTTCAGGTACTGGAAGATGCTCTAAGGTCTCCCTGGAGCCTTTTCTTTTCCAGGCTGAACAGCCCCAACTTTCTCAGTCTGTCCTCATAGCAGAGGTGCTCCAGCTTTCTGATCACCTTCATGGCCCACCTCTGGACTTGCTGCAAGAGCTCCATGTCCTTCTTATGTTGGAGATCTCAGAACTGAACACACTATTCCAGGTGGGGTCTCACCAGAGCCAAGTAGAGGGTGAGAATCACCTTGCTTGACCTGTTGGTCATGCTGCTTTTGACACCATTGGCTCTCTAGGGTGCAAGCACATGTTGCTAACTCATGTTGAGCTTCTCATCAACCAACAACCCCAAGTCCTTCTCAGAGCTGCTCTCAATCCATTCTCTGCCCAGCCTGTAATTGTGCTTGGGTTTGCCCAAACCCATATGCAGGAAATCTCAGGAAGGAGTGAGGAGAAAGAATGACAGTGCTCAGGCTGGAGTTTGGCCAGGATGCCAACCTTAACAACAGGGCTGTGTAGGAGCTTCTAATTCCTGAGAGCAGAAGGGTCTAGCATTTATATTTTGCCTAAAAGACAGAGCTTTTGGTATGTCAGGACCCCTTTTAACACCATGTGGGATTAGCAGTACAATGTAGAAGTAAAAATGTGACAAAAATGATTGTTGTCATCTGCTAAATACTTCATAACAGAGCCTCAGGGAGTTGAGAAAATCAGAATTTAGTAGCATCTTTGTTGTCTCTGTAAGCAAACTAGTAATAGTTGCTGAAATGGTGCACCCAAAATGACAAAGCAAAGAGACATTTTCTGCATTCCAAATCCCCTCAAACTGCAGTGAAACCTGGGGGGAAGAAAAATCCTTCAAATGATCACTTTGACTTCTCTTCCACTTTTTCAAAGTGAATATGCCAGAAAGAGACCAAAGATTTGTAATTTTTTAAAGATACGTTTCATTATAACACAGAATAATAAAGCAGCTCTTTCTCTGAGAATGGAGTCTATTCTCTTTCTAGAACAGAAGCTCAAATTGAGAAACCTTCTGCTCCAGTGCTGTGCAGGGCTTGTGTCCATTCCCATACCAAAATGTTAAGGCTTCAATAAGAAGCAGTAAAGGTCAAAAGCACATTTGCTACCAGTGGATATAAGCACACTTCTGCAATACTTTGAAAATACTTTTATTTTATTATTATGTTAGACCTGAAGGGAGCTGTGTCTGAAAGCTTGTCTGCTTCTCCTAGCTGCATCATTGGCTTAATGAAGTACATCACTTCTCACAAATCTGCTTCTCTGAGTTTCCTTGGCAAAAAAAAGAAAGACAAGGAAATCCTACATTTCTTTGGGACTGCTGCTCTTCTGCCAGTTGTTCATTGCCTTAAGGCTGAATTTTTATGTACTTTAAAGTGATCAGAAAGAAGGCTTTATAATTGTCATTAAAACACTTATAGCAGGATGACTCAACAGTTCAGTCAAAATCATGATGTTTAGAAAAGCCAGTTCCCAGCAAAGGCAGTGAATTCCTGCCTTGAGTAAGAACATGGGGGAAGGTGGAGTGTAAAGGGTATTCTTCTAAGATCGTTGGGTGAAAAGTTTAATTTCAGCATAATGGGCAGAGAAGGACCAGATTTGGAAGTGTTCTGCATTTTGGGTGCCAGTCCATTTTGGAAAAGCCATGAAGGAAGTGAAATAATAGTATTACTGAAGGTCCAGCCTTGTTTGTGTGTTCAGATCACTTTAATATCTGACCAGACCTAAATCTGAGCTACACAAAGAATTATCAACCCTAAATGTCTTGAAATTACTTTCAGAGAAAAGAATTAGAAGTACATTTCCCAGAAATCTGGGAGTAGTGAAATAGTCTGTTTTATTTCTAGCCATGTCTGTGAGGCACTGAATTTGTGATTGTGAGTGGAAGTTTCTGGCTTGTATTGGCCCCACCGTTAAAGTCTCACCTTATGATTGGAATCTGAACTAATGAACTTATTCCAGACTGTATCTGAGTCTGCTTCTTGTGAGAAGATGTGCATATTTCTTCTCTAGTTGCTCTCTGGAGCTAAGGAGGATGAAGGTCTTGAACACTGACAGATTGTGCTTTATCCTCTGAGTGCTTAGGATGGAAGCACACAGACATCTTTCACAGTGCAACCTTCCATTTTGATGAATCCATGAGGATCTTTCCATGTGGGTATAGAGTTTTGTCTTGTTAAAATGAGTTTTCCCACTAAAACAATTCAGGCTGTGTGATCTCAACCTCCTGGTCTCCTGTGACCTGGGCACTGATAAGTGCTGTGTGGAACAAAAGATTACTGCTGCCGTTTGGAGAACAAAATTTGTGAATTAAAAAAAAGGGTGTTTTGGGATTGTTAATTATTAAAATTTATAATTATTTTAAAAATTGACTGTGCTCACTGCTATAATAGTAGCAATACCCTTATATGGAACAAGCGTGGCTATAGGGGATTTAGAACGTGCTTGGTTTTGCTTTTGAGCTTGACAGCCATTTCTCACTTTCTGTAATAATGACAGTTAGCTAGGGAAAACCAGGAATATCAATAGATTTTGACGCTGCTGTGTTTCTAGAGTAAATATAGAAAAAGCTGTAGCAGGAATAAAAAAGGAATAGAATAAGGGATGATTCCTTTTTGCTGGTTTCTGATTCACCCTTGTTTGCAGTCTTCTATATATACTGTTTTTCTAAAAGTAAATGTAATAAAAGAATAAGTTTCCACCGTGATTTATTCTTGCAATTTTCTTAGGTTTGTAGGATTACATCCTCCTCTGTCTCCTCCTTGCAATAACTAGCCACTGTAAATCCAAGTATACAACCTCTGAAAGTAAGAGTTTTGCAGAGGAGAACTAAATCAACCTTTAACTTTTATGTTTAAAAAACCAACAACAAACCACCAAACCACTAAAAAAAAACCCCAAAATAACAAAAACCAAAAAAACCAAACAGCACCACCAACCAACCAAACAAAAAGCCAAACACTGAAACAAACAAAAGAAAACAGAATGAGAAGCATGGGGCTAGTGAAGCTCTGGAAGTATCTGTAGCACGTTATTGCTAGACTATATCTGTCAAAGCGTGCTGCAAAATAGGCATTGGCACTTGGAGCTGATTGTTCTCTTTAGAGAGCAATGAATTTCCCAGAAAGTGTTTGGAGTTTTGGGTATTTTTTGTCATGTTTTTACTTTCATCTTGGATTTCTCTTTTTTTGGTTTTGTTTTAATGTTGAACTTGTCTGTCAAATGAAGTGCAGATACAAGAGATTGTAGCCCATTTTCTGAAATGTTTGCCACTACCCAAATATGTCTTTGACAAGCCCTATAGTTGTGTATTCATCTTATTGCTACTGAAGCAGAGAATTCCAACACTAATATTACATTTGTCATTTTATTCCTTTGTTCTTTTTCTGGTTAAAGAAGAGTTGTTGAGTAAAGATCCTGTGATGTGGTGACACTTGTCATTTTTTCAGTGAATAGGTAACTGGAGTTAGACTGAACATTTCTAGAAACTTTTTTTTCTTTTTCACATTTGTTCATTTTTACAGGTAGTATTTTTTTGTTTGGCACTACTGGAATGCCAAAAGCCATTTATTGAAAATCACTTTAATGAACAGAGTTCTGGAAAGGTAGTAACTGGTCTAGATTATTTAATGGGTTAAAACTGTCTACCTTCTGAAAGGCTGGGGGACAGGGGAGTTGTTGAGAACTCAGAAGTACTGTGTGTCTGCCAAAATAGCCTGAATCTCCTCCCTCTTTTTAATAAATTTGCAGTTTAAAACTGGTATGAACAAACATAAAATGAGAGTATGTACTGCTCTTCAGTAAGGTTCAAGTGAATCTGTGGGGCTGCTAATACATACCTAGGTGAAGCCAACATGTTCATGTTTCGGGTGAGGACTGAAACATCATGTGGCATTTGCTAGAGACCACTAGTAAAATTTGGAACCTCTAAAATACCATTTTAAATCACACAATTAGTCAGCCTGAGGTGCAGGAAGTGGTTAATCTAACTCTTTTTGATAAAAAAGTGCTCCTGCCACAAACCCACAAATTGGCCAAGGCTATTTGACAGTGATAAAGAAGCAATTGCACGGATCATGAAGAATAAATTCATTGCTCACCTTCAGAGAATATCATTAGGAATAGGGCTAGCTTACCAGTAACTACTTAATATTGGATAAGCAACCCAGCTTGTTCAGCTGGTCTAAAATGGGAAATTATAGGGTTACTAGCATTTGAAAGAGTTTATTTTTTTATAAGTGTAGGAAAGGCTGTTGCTAAAAATATCCTGATGAGCAATTGAGATATTTTCTAACCCAATTCTAAGTTCTGCTGTACAATCAGTACTCGTTAATGGTTGCACCTAAACATCCCTTCCAGGATTTTTTCCCAGTTCCTTGACTAATAAATAGAGGCAAAAATTAAAAGCAGGACTGCTTATTTTATTTCTTACCAATTTCTGTTGCTTTTTCAATAAAAATGTAAATTTTTTAAAATTGCCTTGTAGTTATTTTGCACTGGAAATTTTGTGGCATGATGCAGATAGTCTTGGAAAGGCAGAGAAAAATAAGTGGCTTTTGATTTTCTGTGGAGGTTGCAGAATGCATCAAATCTGTTGGCAAGTTGAGAAGAACATCTGCATTGTGCCGTGGCTCCCATCTAAAGTTTCTGTGTGGTATTGACTCAGTGCAGCTTGTTGCTTCCTACACTAAAGTAGAGCTTATATCATAGCACTTAGAAGAGAAACTAATGAGAGCTGGAAAGGAGTTCTAGCTGTTGATTTGGTGCACTTAATAAGATGCTTTCCAGACAAGTGCAGAAGCTGGTACCTCTTTGCACTTTCTGTGGCCTCCTGTCATCCCCTTCCCGTCATGTATCTGAGGGACTGAGTTCCAGGACTTCTGAGTCACAGGCCTTGGCTTGCTTGTCAAGGCCTCTCATTGCAGAGAGGGTTTTGTTGCTATTTTGTTTTGCTTGCACTGGGCTTTGTCCTATAGATCAGGATTACAGTCTTGAATAATTCTTCCTAGTAATGTCACAAAAATTTTGTAAGAGCCAGTGAACACATCTCTGATCTTGCAGTGCTGTGTCACAGGGCCCAGGTGGGTTTGTATTGATGGAGGATGTCAAGACAATTACAAGAAAACTTGAGCCATTCCTCTTTGTTCCTCCAGACCTCTCTGCTCCTCCATCCCAAAATGTCAGCAAGTGATTATTTTTATTATTTTTTTTGTAATTGCTGGATTTTTCTGCATGTTTTGCAAAAAAAAAAAAAAAAAGCTATGTCCTAATGTGCCATGAATATTGTAAGGAACTCTTCACTGGGTATAGTTACTGTGTCAGGTCTTTAGTCTTGGCTGGCATGCCCTTATAACAGAAGTCATGATCTGTTTCTGTGTTGTGTACTCGTGTTCTGAAGAGCAGAGAAATATGTTTTTTCTGGTAAAATTTTATGCTATGGCACTGTAAAAAAAAATAAACCAAAACAAACCAACAACAAACAAACCAAAACACACACCAACAAAACAACACACATCACTTACAGTTTTTGTAAAGTCTTTTCTTTGTGGTTGGCCCTCCTCTGACGGAGAAACTAAGTAGTGTGACCAGCTGGAAGAAAGAAAATGAAACCTGGGGAGGAACCATCCTGGCACATGGCTGACAAAAAAATGAGTAAAGGTTTAAGTTGTCTTTATAGTACCTCTTTTTCTGAGATGCTTTTCTTGTTCCTCAACTGCAGCTGAAATGCTGGAGGAAGTTACTTAGTGTTCGGGAAAACTTCGCTGGACTTGAGTCAGTTGCACTGAAATTTGTTACTGTTAAAATAGGAACTCTCAGTTCCTATTCTATTCTTTCCTGATTTATTTGAAAACACTTTTCTCTTTTAAGTCCAAGTGCTGGAATCAGTAGCAATTTACCACTACTGGCAGATGCAAATTTGACTTTACCCTTGGTCGTCAGGAGCTGCAGAGTGAAAACAGCATCTTTTACTCATCACTAAGGGATTCAGACAGCTTTTAGTTTCTATGTTGGTTGTTAATCTAGAGAGAAAGATGTAGTTTTTACCGGTAAGTGATTTGAAAGGTTAACAACAGACATAGATCTGGCTGTCGGATCTGTTGTGTCTGAATTGCATGCAATATTTAAGTTAAATGAACTCTCATAAAATAGTTAGTTTTCTTTATTGTGGCATGCTGAGTCAGAGGAGCTGTAGTTGGTGACTGTACTCAGCCAGGAGATGTGTTTTCTGCCCCCATTTCCATGGTGCAGCACAGTGTTGCTCCATACACTGATGGGGTGGGGCCCAGATATTAGGTGGAATGACTATGTCAAGAGGGATAATCCAAGCAATGGGCTTGTCCCATGAAGAATATGGACATTAAGAAGTCCAGTTAATGATTTCTGCAAGGCAGTGTATGCAGAGCAGAGGGTCACTTAATGTTGAACTGAAGCAGTACACAGTATTTTGCTTTAAGAATGCACCACTTTTTTGCTTAAAATACTGAAATTGTAATGTTTTGTCTTCTCTAAATACGGTGCTTCAGAACTCTGATGGTGAAAAGTAACCAACTAATGAAACATTAGAATTTCTCAGAGGACCAACATTGTTATTTCTGTAATTGTGTTCTTTATACATCTTCTGTAATGAAGTTGTAAGATCACCCTTATGTTTTGTGCCTATTATAAAAGAGGAAAGTAAAGGGACACAAGTGGCATCACACAGCATATTAGTCAGAAGCTAGGATTTACCGGCTAGAGCCAGCTAGTAAAAAAAGATTTCAGCATAGCAGGAAATTGCTTCCAGTGATTGTTCCTGTTTTTGATGTACGATACAGCTGAATAAAATCAGATATTTTCACCCATCCAGAGAGTGCTTCCATCCTCCATGTTTGTGCCATGAAAATGAAGTATGGAAATGCACTGCAGTTTTCCATCCCTCACAACAACTTGCCTGAACTAGACTGGCACTTGAGTTTTTAGTTTTCTTTCCTTTGTTTTGGGTGTTTTTGAAACACAGAACTTCTCACTGTGTCACTTGTGGAACTTTGATTTTATTCTTAAGCCCTGTGTAGGGTGCAAGGAGCAAAGTATTCTCAAAATGGTTATTCTCATCCATCTATTCTTGTGGCCGTATTGATCAAGTCTGTCCTTCAACTAGCCTGGACACTGTACCCACATTCTGCTTTCTGCATAATACTTCCTGACATGCTTAACAGCAAGTAGGAGCCTAGGTATGTGTTTTGTAACTCAGTCTTGGACTTAGTGAAAGTTATTAAACTTCTGATATTTGGGGAAAAGTGTTTCAGTCACAGTGTGCTGATACGTTGCAGTGCAATATCAGAAGTTGTCCTACAGTATCCTTAGGCAGGAATATGAAAAGGAGTTTTACAATGGCTGGTAGTTAATCTCATTCCTTCTCTCTCTTGGTCATAGTCAGCTAGACCATCTGAAAACAAATCCTCCATGTGCACCGTGTGTACTTTGCTTTTACATGGGGCTTCAAACCTTCCTGCACTCACATGCATCATGCTCATGAAGTGCTGATCAGTCTCTGGAGCATGAATATGGGCTGAGAACAGTATTTGGCCCTGAAGCAAAATATCCATTTAGGGCTTCAGGACTTGACCTTAGACATATAGATCTTGCCTTGGTACCGTTAGAGAGTCTGGAACAGCTTTGCCTGGGGTTTTAAATGAAACACAAGAAACAATCCTTCATTGTCCTGCAGTATAGGGGAATAAATAAAGAAATGTTTGAAGCTGCCAGTTCTCTTACCAGGACTTAATAGTTGAAGGTTATTTCAGAAAATATTTCCATTTTATCACTATAATTTTTTGCTTTTTTGTTCTTTCCCTTTCCTCACCCTCCTCTCCACCTGAGGGACAGGCAAATATGAATAGTATCATTCATAAGTGTTTCACCAGAATTCATTAGAGTGAGGCTGAAGGTTTCATTATTCTTTAAGGATGCATTAATAAAACTACTGAACGCTTGGGTTTTTTAATACTATATGAATTATTCTGACAGTTTGCAAAGCTAACATATCAATCATTAAATTAAAAATGTAGTAATACAAATTAGTGTGGTACAGGAGCTGTAGAACATGTGGAACAATATGCTCTCTGTTTGGAAACTAATACAGATCTGTCCTTCAAAGGAGAAAAGATAGCAAGCAGTGAAATGCAAAATATTACAGTGAATTTATCCAACACTTCATAAAGACATGTTTCTATGTGTCAGTTACTATTCATGTTTTGTCCAAATCTTTATTATACTTTTTGCAAATACAATAGCAATCTTTAGTGATCAACCATAATGTTTGTTTGCAGTATGAGATGTCTTTTGCTTACATCTAAGCATAAGGCACAGAAAGATCAAAACATCCCCACAGTTACTGCTTTTGTTTGCATTACAGAAAGTGCAAATGAAATATTTTGCAAACACCTTGCTAACTCACCACTTCATGAAGTAATTCCAACGAGGTTGCATCAGTCCTGTAAGCCTAATGTAGCCTGCCCTTGTGCCTTCTGGTGCTCTGGGGACAGACAGTGTATCTGCTCCATTTACGTGAGGAGAAATTATTTTAGCCCTGCTAACTGTGAGAGACGAGCAGGAGCAGGCAGGACAGCCTGCTTTTTCCCTTCCTTGAGCAGAAAGTTCTTTTTAAGCATCTTTTTTCCTTCCTCTGCTGATTCTGTGCAAACTGTGTAGCTGTGAATAACATGTTGGGTGTTTGAAGTAGTTCAGTGAATGTGAGATAATGAAGTTGTGGCTGAGGTGCAGGACATTTTCAATGGCAAGTCTTTGCCTGTGGATTTTTTCCTCCTTTCTGAATTATGTTTCAGCCAAGCTGTTTTAAAGCAGCTTGCCTACACTACAGAT